TCTCTTTCTCTTCTCTTTCTCTTCTCTTTCTCTTCTCCTCCCTTCTCTTCCCTGTACCCCATACAAACCCCAGCTCCCAAACCCTCAGCTGAGGCTGAGCAGCCCTTCCACTGCAGGGGAGAGCCTGGGGCTGCATCCTTCCCTGAAGGGATTGGGATTAGCTCCAGGATTTGAGGATCCAGGAGTACATAAACCAACCTCACACATCAGCTTCCACACCCTGGTGAAGCCTCAGCAGCCACCCAGGTCTTGGCAGCGAAGATTTATTGAGCCCTGGCAGATTCAAATTAATGCAAAAGAAGCAAAAATCCCCTGTGGGATCCCAGGGGCAGGAGGGATCCTGCCTGTGGGATTTAAGACTAATTCTGTCCGAGCTTTCAGCCCTTCTCCTTTCAGCTGGATTCTGCTGACAGTCAAGAGGAAAAACCCCACAGCTGATTTAGAGCAGGGGAACAAAAATGGGTCACCAAAACCATGACCCAGGCCGTGATTCAGCTGCACTGATGTCCCTGCAATGAGTCCCCAGGAGCAGCTTCCCCATCAACTCTGGAAGAGGCAACACCAACAGAAAAAAGCAAAACAAATCACAAAATCCCACACTTTCCCTGCCTCAGAGTCTCCACTTGCTGATGTTTCATCCCCTTTGCTCTTACACATGTGCATGCCAACCATTCCTCTCTCCTGCTCCTAAAAATAAAGTGGAAAAACTCTCAGTATGCAGGAACAAACAATACTTTGCATTTTTCCAGCATTTTTTCAGCAATGAATTCCCTCTCAGAGGTTCAAAAATTCAACTTCAAAGAAGATCAGTGTGATGAAGGAGATGAGAATTCATGGGATTTGTTCCCTAATGGAGGAAGTCTTCCCTACTGGGAAGAATGAACTCTTTTAAAATAACATGAGGGATTTCAAGGAAAATCCCCTGATTTCAGAGAAGCCAAATTTATCTCCGCTCTCACTTTCTTGCATGCCAAATTCCTGAATAAATAAGTGAAATCTTTATCCCAAGGAAGCAGGGGGTGTGGGCTAAAATAGATACAGAAAGAGAAGGAGAAAAGAGAGGGAAACGGAAAACGGAGACGTCACAGGAATTCTCTGTGCCTCCAAAGGGACAATTTTATCACAGCTGGGACAATAAGTCCCAGCTAAGACAGGACACGCTGCTGCTTGGATGGGGCTGCTGTCCATTTCTAGGAAACAAAATAAGATTTCAAAAGCCTGGAAAATGAATTTTTATGAGCTGCTCACACACTTTAGCGCCAGGCATCAAATAAGTGGCACAAATCCTGATCCTCCCCTGGGATCCCTTTGGAATCCAGCTGATATTTGGGAGCACAAACTGAGCTTGCTGAGCAATGAAAATTCATATTTGCTTCAGCTGACATGTGCATTAACTGGAAAAAAAAAACCACCCAAATGAATTAAAAATGAAGATTTCAGTTCGTGATGTGTGTTTGCAGATTAGAATACCAAAGGAAGAGACAGAGAATTTGTACAGTTCATGAAAAGCAATTCTGCTGAGTGATGCTCTCTGCAGGTTTGACACTGAGATTTAAAAGTAGCAACACTTTTTTTGGTTCCCCCTAACAATACAACATTGATCTAAAAATAAAATATGGAACTGTGAGAATAAATGAACATCAAGCAGCACCTTGGCTTCTTTGTGTGTCTCTGCAGCTTTCCTCCTCAGCCACAGCTAAATTTACAAGAAACAAGCAATGTAAAAAAAAAAATGCAGAGTCTAAGCACAAAAAAATTGATGGGGTGTGAGGAGAGGACAGGAAACCCAAGTTGACGGGAAACCCAAGTGACATTTGGGCTTAATACTGACTTAAAACCCCAATATTGCTCGTCAGGAAATGGGGAGAGGAAATGGAGTGATGTATAAATTAGGGGCTCCATCAAGGTGAAAGCTGCAGATCTGCTTTGTACCCTCCCAGGGGGGATCCAGCTGAGAGCTGCAGCAGAGGGGAAATCTGCAGAACAGGATGAGGACCTGCTCCAGGGGCACAGCTGTGCCCATCCTGCTGCTCCTGCTGCTGCTGCTGGGCACTGCCCGTGCCCAGCCCTCGTGCCTGCGCTTCCCCGAGCTGCTGCCCGCCAAGCTCAAAGAGCTCAGGATCAAGTTTGAGGAAATTAAGGATTATTTTGTAAGTATTGGTATTTCGTCTTCTCGGTTTTTTTACCTTTCTTGCAAAGTTCTGGGATCTGGAGGAGGGGGAAGTTTCCTCCCAGCAGAAATGATTTGGTTGCGTTGCGTTAAGAGCAGCTCAGTTTCGTTGCTCACTGAGAGAAAATCTGTCAAAGAACCATGGCTCAAATTTGAGGAAATCAGGGAGTATTTTGTAAGTATTGTTATTTTGTCTTCTGGTTTCTTTACCTTTCTTGCAAAGTTCTGGGATCTGGAGGAGGGGGAAGTTTCCTCCCTGCAGAAATGATTTGACTGTGTTAAGAGCAGCTCAGTTTCGTTGCTCACTGAGAGAAAGTCTGCCAAAGAGTCAAAGAACTCAGGCTCAAATTTGAGGAAATTAAGGATTATTTTGTAAGAAATAAAGAAAATTGTTATTTTATCTTCTGGTTTCTTTACCTTTCTGGATCTGGAGGAGGGGGAAGTTTCCTCCCAGCAGAAATTATTTGGTTGTGTTGCGTTAAGAGCAGCTTGGTTTCGTTGCTCACTGAGAGAAAATCTGACAACGAGTCATGGCTCAAAGAGCTGGGGCTCAAATTTGAGGAAATTAAGAATTATTGTTATTTTGTCTTTTGGTTTCTTTACCTTTCTTGCAAAGTTCTGGGATCTGGAGGAGGGGGAAGAGTTTCCTCCCTGCAGAAATGATTTGGTTGCGTTGCATTAAGAGCAGCTTGGTTTCGTTGCTCACTGAGAGAAAATCTGTCAGGCTCTTCTTCCTATTTTTTTCATTAACATTGAACTCGAGGCTTCACAATGAACCTCTGCAAATCTTTCCAGCCAAGCTTCCCCCAAAATATTGCAAACCAAGTTAATCACTGAATTATTAGGAAGGAAATAGTTTTTTCTTCAGGGCAACAAGGTCCTGAAGAAGTCAGTGCCAGGTGAAAAGGGAAATCTTTTGCTGCAGATTTTTTTTCTTTGAAAGAACCACAAAACCTGCACAGGGTGTTTTGTGAGGGGTGGAGCACAACACCTGCACTGGTGCCTGTGCAAGGTGCCTGCCCTGCATCTCAGGAGCCTCAGGGCTGAGCAAACAGCTCATGATGCCCTCAGAGCATCTGCCCTGGCTGATAGAGGTGCTTGCTCACAGCCCTGTTGCTGTTTTAGTCCATGTCAATGTGTTTTAGCAATAAAACGAGATAATTCTCCAGATCGAATCTCAAGCTCATGTCCTGGCTTATGTTTGTCATCAAACGAACGCAGCCAAGATTTCAGATGTTTAGCTGGCTGTGAATCTCACAGATAATGCTGGGAAGGAATATTTTGAACCTCTCAGGACAGCTTTTAAGGCTTTAATTCTTTGAGTGGTGCCAGGCCACCCCACTGCAGCTGGTGCCACAGAAGCACCATGAGAACAAACTCCCATTTCCCCATCAACAGGAGTTACAGGGGTAACCACACCAGGGGACTGACCCTCCTGCCCTGGCACAGAGCCTGCAGGGGCTGCCAGGGCTGCCAGGGCTCTGCCACCCCTCTGGAGAGCTTTGCTGTCTGCAGCAGCACCCTCAGACAGCACCCTGCGCAGCTCAGGGGTTTCACATGGACAAACCCAATGGCACCAAAGGCTGCGATTGCATTTTCCTGCTGGCCTGAACCAACACAAATTCAGTGGCACCAAAGGCTGGGATTGCATTTTCCTGCTGGCCTGACCCAACACAAATTCAGTGGCACCAAAGGCTGGGAGTGCATTTTCCTGCTGGCCTGACCCAGCAGCCCTTGTGCTGCCAGCTGTGGAGCAGAGTGGCTCCTCTGCCTGGTGCCACCTTGCTCTGCCACACCTGCACTGGGCACCCTTTGCCTCTGCTGCAGGGAGACCCTAAATGCAAACAAGGGGAGGATCATTTGTTAGGAAATGGAAAGGGTGAAAAGCTCATTTCTCGATTCATTTTTCAATTCCATCCTCCCCCAGCAATCAAAAGATGACGACCTCAGCATCCAACTGCTCAGCTCCGACCTGCTGGAGGAAATCAAGGTAAGAATCTCAATGCCTTGCTGGTTCCTCCTCCTTCCCCCTCCTTGGGCAGGCATTTCACAAGAAGGGAAGCCAGCTGGAAACGGGGCCACGTGCTGCTGTCACCCTGCAGGGACACGTGTGGCAGTGGTGGGGCTGGCACGAGGCTGCCCCATGGCCAGGGTGGCTCCCACACCCTGCTCTGGTTTGGACAAGCTCTGGCCCAGCTCTGGTTTGTCCAAACCCACCTGTGATGGTGTTTGCAGGGGTCTTAGGATGAGGGAAGAGACGAGAATGTTGACTCAATGCTTCAGAAGACTTGATTTATTATTTTATTATATTATATATATTAAAACAAAACAAAACAAAACAAAATAAAATAAAATAAAATAAAATAATATAATATAATATAATATAATATAAATATTATAATAATACTATTTATATTGTATTCTTATTTATTATTATCAATTATATTATTTCTTTCTATTATATTTGTTATTTATATTATAATAATATAAATAATATATTATAATAATGATAATATATTATATAATGTATAATACAGTGTATACTATGTATAATAATGTAAAATGTAATATGATATAATAATCTATAATAGGATATATTAATAATATATTAATATATATTAGTGGTATTGTTATCTATAATATATTAATATATTAATGATATAATAATCTATAATAAAATAATAGTATAATATATATATTATGATACATATTATGTTAAAACTATACTAAAAGAATAGAAGAAGGGATTTCATCAGAAGGCTGGCTAAGAATAGAAAAAGAAAGAATAATAACAAAGGCTTGTGACTGACTGAGACAGTCCGAGCCAGCTGACTGTGATTGGCCATTAATTAGAAACAACCACATGAGACCAATCCCAGATGCACCTGTTGCATTCCACAGCAGCAGATAACCATTGTTTACACTTTGGTCCTGAGGCTTCCCATCTTCTCAGGACACAAAACCCTAAGGAAAGGATTTTTCAGGAAATATCATGGCTACACCACCCCTGGTGCTGTTGGCCATCCCCAATGAGGTTTCCCCCTCCTGTCCCCAGGGAAGCCTGGGCTGCCAGTCGGTGTCGGAGATGATGGAATTCTACCTGGAGGAGGTTCTGCCCAGGGCCATGAGGAGCAGCAGCCAGCACCAGCACAGCATGGGCGACCTGGGCAACCTCCTGGTGAACCTCAGAGCCATGATGAGACGCTGTGTGAGTGGGGCTCAGCAGCTCGGGGACACTGACCAGGAGCAGGACAGGATTGGGGGTGGGATGGGGTCCAGGGGTCCAGGCAGGCAGGATTTGTGGGATCCAGGGGCCCAGGATGGGGTTTGTGGGATCTAGGATGGGGTTTGTGGGATCTAGGAGTTCCAGGCAGGCAGGGTTTGTGGGGTTCAGGATGGGGTTTATGGTGTCCAGGATGGGGTTGGTGGGATGCAGTGGTCCAGGCAGGCAGGGTTTGTGGGGTCCAGGGGTCCAGGATGGGGTTTATGGGATCCAGGATGGGGTTTGTGGGATCCAGGATGGGGTTTGTGGGATCCACGATGGGGTTTGTGGGATCTAGGATGGGGTTTGTGGGATTTAGAGGTCCAAGCAGGCAGGGTTTGTGGGGTCCACGATGGGGTTTGTGGGATCTAGGATGGGGTTTGTGGGATTTAGAGGTCCAAGCAGGCAGGGTTTGTGGGGTCCACGATGGGGTTTGTGGGGTCCAGGATGGGGTTGGTGGGATGCAGTGGTCCAGGCAGGCAGGGTTTGTGGGGTCCAGGGGTCCAGGATGGGGTTTATGGGATCCAGGATGGGGTTTGTGGGATCCAGGGGTCCAGGATGGGGCTTCTGCCCACAGCAGCTCAGGGATGATGGTGCAGCCAGCCCTGTTCCAGCCTGGCTGGACACACAAAGGGAGGGCAGGAGGAGATCTGTCCCTTACCTGGGTGCTGGAGCTGCTGAAATCACACCTGGCATGGCCATGAGCCCATCCCTGGGGGCAGATGGGACAAACCCCGTGTCTCTGCTGTCCCCAGGGACCGGCAGCAGGGACACAGGGCTGGGGACAGGACGGGGAGAGCCCAGGCTGGGGTCACTCCAGGCTCCTTCAGCAGGGCACGGTGCAAACCTGCTGGAATTTGCACACAGGGGACAGGGAAGGTGGGGAGCAGCAGTGCCAGGGGACAGGGGGAGGGGACAGCCACCAGCAGAGCCCTGGGGAGGGACCCTGGGGCTGAGGCCGTGCTCTGGTGTCCCTTTGCAGCACAAATTCTTCACCTGTGAGGAGAGGAGCAGGAGCATGGAGCACGTCAAGGAGGCCTACAGCAGGGTAAGGAGCAGCAGGGAGCTGCTGCCACGGCAGGGCAGGGGGCTCAGGGGGGGAACAGAACCCAAAAATGTCCTGAATCACATAAATTCTTGCAGCAGAGAGCGAGAATCTGGCGGGAATTCTGGAGGAAGGATGGGGATTCGGGAGTAAAGGGTGGGAATTCTGGAGTAAGGGGTGGGAATTCTGGAGGAAGGATGGGAATTCTGGAGCAAAGGTGGGAGTTCTGGAGTGAGGGTAGGAATTCTGGAGTAAAGGTGGGAATTCTGGAGTAAGGGTGGGAATTCTGGATCAGGGATGGAAATTCTGGATCAAGGATGGCAATTCTGGAGCAAGGATGGGAATTCTGGAGCAAGGGTGGGAATTCTGGAGCAGGGATGGAAATTCTGGATCAGGGATGGCAATTCTGGAGCAAGGATGGGAATTCTGGAGCAGGGGTGGAGATTCTGGAGCACGGGTGGAAATTCTGGAGCAGGGGATGAGAATTCTGGAGGAAGGGTGGAAATTCTGGAATTCCCAGGGGATTGGGCATTGTCCATCACATATCTGGAGGCGTCCATGGAAGGAGAATTTGTGCAGGCATTGTCCATCACATACCTGTGACACCCCTGGCTTTCCCCTGCAGATGAAGAAGAATGGACTCTACAAGGCCATGGGAGAGTTCGACATCTTCATCAACTACATTGAAAGATATTTAACAATGAGGAGAAGGAACTGAGAGCACCCCTGGCTCTGCATTTTCCACACCAAATCCTGTTACTTTAAAAATCACTTTAGGTTGCAAGAACTCAAATTAAGTTATCTCAAGGTTCAGGTTAAGAATTACAGGTCAATAACTTCCAGCTTAATATTGTATTTAAGAGCTATTTTTTTAATAATTTTGTAATAGTTGAATTTATTATTTATTACTTCCAATACCTCAGTGTTGATGTTTACAGTATGTTTTGAAGAAAGGAGTGATGAGCTTGTAAATTACTATTTATTGTTTAATATTTTAATATTGTTTATTGTAGTGCTATTTTATTCATAGCTTCAAAACAACCAAAGCAGCATTTTTCTGGAGGGCAGACAATGAGCTGAGCTTATCCCAAGTGAATTAGGAGCAAGGCCAACTTTGAGTTCAACAAAATTTAATTTTAGGCAAATTACTCTCTTCTCATGTCCTAAATCTTTATTTATTTATGCAATTAGGTGGTTTTATGTGCAGGAGGAGAAAAATCCACAGCAACAGCATGGCTGACTCTTCTTTAGATTTCAGTCTGTAGATTAGTCCAGACTAAATTTTAAAAATTAATAATGTTTGGTTCTAATAGAACTTAAATATTGCTCAGTGTCTGCCTTCCAGAGCTGCTGGGTTGGCCACCCTGCACTTTCCAAAGTTAACCTTACTGTTCTCCAGTCTCTGATTGGGTTTTCCTCACTGTTTCACTGCTGTTCATTTTCTTTTACAACTTAGAGGATATTTAATTACCCACCATTTTAAGGTGGCTCAGGTAATTTGCATTCAAATCCTTGGGGCTGCTCCCAGCACTGCTGGGATTGGATTTTGGATCCTCATGAGTGGGAGCAGCTTCAGTGCCCCCAAAAGTGGCTGATTTTAGGGCTCAGCTTCCTCCTCACCCTGGTGGACCCTGAGCCAGAGGAAAATGCCACAACCCCCAAGAGAGGCTTTGACTTCTAATATTTAGAAGTTTAAAGGCCCCCAGCTGATGAAACACAGCAAATTTGATGTTTGCTGTGCAAGTTCCCAGCTGAGGAGAGGTTATTTATATGGGATTTATTTCTGGTGGCAGCAGGGGATTCCTGCTGGAATTGGATGTTCCAGAGCAGGGGAGGAATGCTGCTCCATGGGTCGCTCCTCCTGCTGAAAGCTCAGGCTCAAGGGCAGCCAAAGACTCTATAAAAACTTAAATTAAGCTTCTTACAAAGCACATTAAGCTCCTGTTGAGCCAGTTCTGAGCTTGTCTTTCCCTCCAAACACCTTTGTCCTGGGAGAAGCAAGGACAGCCCTGGAGCCAAGGACAACATCAGCACAGCTTCTGTCACTGGGTGAACTTCCACCTATTTATCTGAAATTATATGATAAGAAATCCTTTATTTTTGCTAATAAAGACTCTTTAATGAAGGCAGCCTCTGTCCTGTTCTTGTGGGCTCTCAGCAGGGCTGTAAAGCAGCTCCAGCCCTGGGTGCTGTGCCAGGGTCACTGGGCTGGGACAGAGCCCAGAGGGCACAGAGCCAGCTGGGAAGGACCCCAGGGACACCTTTGCTTGTGTTAACAACCAGGGAGGTGAGAAAAACTGAGGTCTGGGACATTTAAAAGCAAATTTCTCACCAAATTCCTGGCATTGATCCCTTAGAGCAGGGAAACACCATGGGAGGAGCAATCCCTTGAATGGTGCAATCCTCCAGCAGCATCTTCCCAGTGCTGGAGCTCTGTCCATGGGATGCACTGCTTTAAAAAAACAGGGAAAAAGCCCAAATGATAGCTTGGAGAGCGGGGAGATCCAGGGCACCATCACAGGTGACCTAATTCCAGCTGGAATCCTGGCACCAGCATCACCCAGGGCCCCTCCAAGCTGCACCCTGACCTGTGCTGGGTGAGGGCAGCAGCTCTGCACATCCCTCAGCTCCCAGCATCAGCTGAGCCCAAAATATCAGTGTGCTGAA